TTCTACAAAAATTATTTACTTTTAATATTTTAATAACTTGTCCATCTACATATTGTGTATAAAAACAAGCTTTACTACTAAAATAAATCCTGAGTATCCTAAAAACGTTATTACAGCTAACAAAAGAAAGAACTGGGTTTATAGCAAAAGAAGCCATAATGAAGTTAACTACACTGAGGCCAGAGTATGGAAGGTTATGATCATAGTATTAGACAACATTCCTAAATGTGTTTGGAAATCTTGTAGGTTCAATAAGATTTCCTTAAGCAGCTATATATAAAAAAATCAAATAATTGTTCTTAGTACAACTTTAATGTTAAAGATTGGACTTTCTCATTCTCTTCATCTGATGCAGTTTATTTTCTTGAATACCACAATGTATTTTTAATATTGAGACAATACTAACTTTAATCAAAGGTATCTTAAATTTAAGAACAGGAAACTACTAAAACACATACTTTTCAGCAGATAAACACTGGTATTTGCTTTGAAATAAATCATTAACCTTTCAAGTAATTCATCTTCAGGACATTCAAGTGAAGATAAACAAAGGGGTAAGATAATCTCACACAAGTACAACTAGCAGAGATAATCAGGCTGTCTCAGACAATTAGGTGGGAAAGACAGCACAATGTTGTTTGTAAAACAAAGAAGAATGTAGGTGAAAAGCATGTATCATTTATTTCTGACAATTTAAATCTCCAGTTTATGTATAATTATTTTTAAAATTTGAGAAATTAAATACTAATAATTTTCTGACAACTTAATTTATACTTAACCTTATACAAAATTACCATTTACTGAGCAACCTAATTTTAGATGAGTTCAGCCTCCATGATACTTCTTGCCTATCCTCTTTTCAGTATCTTATTTGTCTATAATATGGAAAAATTATATTAACTATATAACTGCTGCTACTCTAATTTCTCCCTGGGAGCATATTACAGACATGTGTAAGACTTATTGTGCATCTATAAGGAGCTGTGGGTACTTTCTAACATTTTCTTTTCTTTCTTTCTAACATTTTCTTTTCGTAAGTTAATTGTACTAAATCACCTTATCCAGTCCCAAAACAAATATTACACATTTGCTTCTGATTTTTAATCCAGATTTGTTTCTAAGATTAGGAAATGTTGGAAAGTTTACTTGGTTTTTCAAGCTCAAGCAAAAAACGAGTTAAGTTTTACCTTTCAGAGCTTGTTGTCTTATCTTTTTTAAATGATTGACAAACTTAACTGTAGATTTTCAGTCTAATGGTATACTTGAAGTACATATGCATTCCATTAAAAATTCTTTTCTGCCTCCGTGCTATCATAAGCTTGAAGGAAGATAAAATATATTGGCAATGACCTGGTATACCTTATATCAGCCAACTTTACTGATGTAAGAAATATTCTGTCCAATACTGTAAACATATATGCTGCTTTTTTCAGTGTACAAATGGATTTCTTGTATAATGCATAATAGTATGTCTCTTTATTACATCTTTTTAGCAATGTATGTACTAATAACTAAATGAAAAGCTAACAGGTTTATCAAAATACCTGCTGTTAGAATGCTTATCTTAAAATAATTTGCCAGCGATAGACATGGATCATTATTCATCATATCTGAAAAAGACAAAAAAAATAGGCATACAGTATTTCAGTTTAATTTTTTAAGCCTGTTATCATCTAAAAAGCTAACTGGAGAGAAAATGAGGAAATGGGAAGATAATATTGAATAAACAAACAGCCTTTATAAATGATTTCTTAGAAAAAAACCTTAGTTATTTCTATTGCACTAATAAAAAATTCCAATGCAGTATGACTAGTAAGTTTATATTGGGCATCATTGCAACCTCATTGTATACTTGACAAACTACTAATATGCGGAAAGTATTTAAAACAGCATTTAAAACAACATTTTATACTGTACAGATAAGAATTCTTTAAAGGCCAAACAGATTTTCATACTTAGTTTTTATTTAACAAAATGTATCAGCTATGGATCTCTTACACTCTCCCTGGTACAAGAACACTAAAAAAGCAGAAACTGAATAAGAAATATATTACTTCATTTATTAATGTATTTATGATGAATACCTATTTTACTACTCCAATTCCTAGGCTGCCTGACTCCACAATGATGCTGGGTGGCTGAAAACTTAAAAATGTAAAAGAAAACAACATGTATAGGTACACCTCAAGTTACAACCACAATTGAGACCAGAATTTTGGTTGCTAAGTAAGGTGGTTGTTAAGGGAGTTACACTCAATTTTACAACCTTTTTTTGCCATGGTTAAGGGAATCACTGCAGTTAAGTAAATCATGTGGTGGTTAAGCAAATTGACTTTGTCGGAAGCCAGCTGGGAAGGTCACAAATAACAATCACATGCCTCTAGGATGCAGCAACCATCATAAATACATGCTGGTTGCCAAGTCCAAATTTTGATCACATGATTATGGAGATGCTGTGACAGTGTAAGTCACTTTGAGTGCTGTTACAACTTTGAACAGTCACTACGACTGTGAGTCAAGGACTACTGTATCAAAGAAAAAGAATGCAGCTGACGAGAAAACCAAAAGGCAAAAGTGGCTCAATGACCATCCTAGCCCAAAGCCTTGGAGAAATCTTCAAAAATTCAAAAAAAAATAACAGCAGTACCCATCTATGATGTAGTTAGAGTAACTGTTGTCTATCAAACACTTAAAGATTAAGTTTTGACTGAAATTTATTTATAAGATCCATAAAGTACAACATCAAATATGAATACATCAACTTCTGTCAATAATGACCTAGTATATTTTATATCACCCGATTCAGTCAATCTCTATACAAAAGAAGAAAACACAGATCCAATTATTAGAATTAATTGTATACCAAATAGAGTGACTTTTTTATTTGATCATTTTCAAAGCAAGCTTTCCTCATCTTTCCTTCTTCTGAACTAGTACTGGGGCATAAACAAACTGTTAAGTCTATAAATCTCATGAGGGAGTTGTTGATCTTTGGTGTACCTACCATACGGTGCAATGTTTTGATGATTTTATTGTATAGACCAGTGGTTCTCAACCTTTTTAATGCCGCGACCCCAACCGGTCGTAAGTCGAGGACTAAACCGGTCGTAAGTTGAGGACTACCCAACCGGTTGTAAGTCGAGGACTTTCCCTGCCCGGGAGCGCCGCACATGCGTGGTTCCGCCCCCTGCGCCGGCCGAGGCGTAGCTGGCAAGCGGCAGAGATGGAGCAGGCCGACCACCAGCTGGCCCAGCCCAAGGGAGGTAAGGCACCTGCCGGAAAAGGGGGAAAAATGGCGGAGAAAAAAAATGGTGGACAGCCTTGCTTGGCGACCCCCGTGAAATGGTCGATCGACCCCAAATGGGGTCCCGACCCACAGGTTGAGAACCACTGGTATAGACCCAGAAGAAAATAAACCACCACACTTTATCTTTTTCCACATCTGAACTTCTAAATATTTTTGCTTATTCTCAATCACTTTTTTTTTTAAAAAAAAAAATCCTTTTCCTTCCTTGCATAACCTAAAAGTACCATCAAGAAAAGCCTGACTTTTAGAGCCATGAAGGTTTGATGGCCCTTGGCCACATTCTAGAAGTGATTTTGCCCTTTTCTTCCCTTCAATATTCTATACCAGCCCAAAAGACATGACATTTCCAATGCTCTATCTATCCAAACACTATCCAGGATCAATCAAGGGCAGCCAGATGCTGCCACTCACTGAGATTATAAAATTCTCTCACAGAAATTTACACCTTCTAATGAGCCACAGAAACTTGCATTATAACAAGTTCTGCTAGTCTTTGCGCGCGACAAATTTCTTGGGGCTAACTCGCCTACCTCCTTTGGAAACGCCACGCCACAACCGAATCGGGCTTCGTGAAGCTTCCCCTCCTCACATTTCAGGTCCAATCTCAGATACCTCTATGGCCCCCATCCGTTCCCCAGAACCCTCCCCCTTTTTTCGAGATGAGGCTTCTAGCTGTTGGGGGAACAAGGCAAACACGGAAGAACGTCGGAACCACCAGAAACCGCCACCTCTACAAAGCTCAAAGCCCTCGAAATCCACAAAACGAAAAGCGAGTTCCTCCAACTCATTAGCGTCCACGCCTGGGAGGAACGTCCTCACCATTCGAGTTTCCGTGCCCAAGAAATAAAAAGACTGGAAAGCGACTGGAAAATGCCCGCAGCCTCCCTCAGCACGGCTGGTCATTCGCTTGACCTCCCCTTTCCGCTCCAGGTGCAGCGCCGCAGACTAACGGACAGCGGCCGGACGCCGAGCCGGGCGCTGGGGACAGCGCGGCTACCCTTATTTCCTTGGCGCCGGGACAAGAGGTTTTCGCCTAGGGCGGGTTCCGCCTTCCCGGCCGCGACTTTCTCCCGGGCCGTGCGGAGAGAGGCGAATAGTACCCGACGGGGTAAGAGTAACGCGCTGGGCCCGCCCAACGCCGCCTTTTCACATTCCTTTCCGTAAACGGTGCCACAAGAGGAAGCCCCGGAGACCCGCCCCCTCCGCCCACCAAGGACAGCGCGCGGGAGGCGGCGTCCCCCTGGGAAGGTAGTCTTGGGCGAGGCCGCTGCGTAACGCTCGCGCGCCCCTGGCGGGTCTCCTTTTACCTCCCTATCAACTCGGTACGTGCTTCAGAGAGCCGCGCTCGGAACCCCGCCCCCTCGCCCATTTTGGGATCGGCCGAACACAGGCCTCCGGCTCCGAGCTCCACCCTACCATGTTTGAACACAGCCGCCGCCAGGCCGTCACGGCTGACGCGGCGAGCACACGGCCGCAGGGCGCGTTCTATTTATGTTTGTAGCCGCTAAGTTTTGCATATGCCCGCCCCTTGCTCCTCCCCTCCTTTTGTGGCCCAGGCGGAAGGGTCCCTCCCCTTTTGCCCGTATATAGCTCTGATAGGCGGGATCTGCCGCTCCGGCAGTCTCTCGCTGCCTTCCTGGTGCCGTTTATAGAGTAAAACCACTTCCGCTGTCTGCTTAGAAGCGGCGCGATCATGGCGGAGCGCGGACAGCTCCCTATCCCCGCCAAGCGCCTTTGCTGCAGACCTGGGTATGGTGCTGGTTGCAGGCCGGGGCAGCGGGCGGGCGGCGGCGGCGGCGTGGATGTCGGCCTCGGCGGCGGCGGGGCACTTTGCGTCGCGGGACCCTCGTCGGCCGCCGCTGCCGCTTCCTCCGCCGCCGTCGCCGCTTTCCCCTCTGCCCTCGCCGCGGCTTATGCCGCGTTCGGAGTGCTTCCATTGGGCAAGACGCAGAGCCCGGAGTCCCTGCTGGACATCGCGGCGCGGCGGGTAGCGGAGAAGTGGCCCTTCCAACGGGTGGAGGAACGGTTCGAGCGCATCCCGGAGCCCGTGCAGCGCCGCATCGTGTACTGGTCCTTCCCCCGCAGCGAGAGAGAGATCTGCATGTATTCTTCCTTCAACACCGGCGGCGCCGCCGCCGAGGAGTCCTCCGCCAGCAGCGTTTCAGCCGCTTCCTCGGGCGGGGGAGCCGCCTCCGTGGCTTCCACGGGTACCGCCGGCGGCGGCGCCTCTCTCGCTAGCGCCGTCTCCAACAACAGCGGCGGAAGCGGGGGGACCAACAACGCCGCGCCCGCCGGCGGCGGCGGGACAGACCCCGCTGCCGACGAGAACCGCCTGCCCTTCCGCAGGGGCATTGCTTTGCTCGACGGCGGCTGCGTCGACAACGTTCTGCAAGTCGGTGAGTCATTCGGGCTTCGGTGGGTGGAAGCGGCGGGGGGGGGGAGGGTGATGCCATCGTTTCGCTCCCCCCGCCCCGCTTGGCTTCCCGTCCCACGGTCTTTGCTTCGGGTCACGGTCTCGTCGGAGTCCTCCCTCCCGCGCGCATTCTTCAAGCGGACTCCCTTGCCTCGTTCACCTGCACGCTCGGGCGCCCTCCGCTTGTTCCAGCCGCCCGAAACACCCCCCCCCCCGACCTTTTTTTCCCTCTTAAGTTTTTCTTTATTCTCATTCCCTCCGTCAGTTCCCTAAGAATGGGAACCTTCCTTCTCCCCACACCCGCCCTCGCCCTCCCCCTCCCGGTAGCTTCTCCTCCTTTAAATCTCCTGTCTTGAGGCTCCTCCACCTAATTCCAATTTGTCTCTTTGCCACCCAGTCAAGCAACCACCCTCGTATTTCTTGGGATTACTTTATATATTTGTTTAAAAGACGTTACTGATCCTAGAACATTTTAATCCTATACCAGGAGCTTATTTTTGCTGTCCCAGCGCCTTCCAGAACCTCACGTTTCCCATCTTTCATCCCATACAAAATCACCACCCGTACAAAATCCAGAACTGTTACTTTTATTTTTTTCTCTTTATTCTCCTCGTTTGCCTCTCCCACATATCCAGGAGTATGAATGGCAATGAATCAGCAAGAGAATCCTCTGGGAAGCTTCGCCAGGGAGGGATGGAGGAAGGGCGAGAGGGAAAGAGTGTCTTTGGGATTTGCCAAGAGAGACTGTGTGAGCCTTTAAACAAAGACATTTCTAGGACAGCAGCACTTGAGAAGGAAATAACATCTAGTTTTGGTTTGGCACAGAGTCCTAGAGTGCTTTTGTGTCCAGCCTGCATCTCCAGGTTTTTGTTATCCATGGCAGTGAGGGTAGGTCATTGGGTCATAAAGCTGTCAGATTGCTGATGAAACAAGGAAGGTCTGTCTGCGATGCGATGCGATGCAGGGGCGGGGAAAAATGGGCTGCCAAGGAGGAACTGTTGTGCAGGAAGGCAAAGCCTGCCTCAAGTGCTGCCAAATAGATCGAGGATGTAGTTGGTTTCTTTATCTCTCATTCTACTTTGCTGCAGAGCAGGGGAGACTCTGCTGATTTCTTCCTGAACTAATAATATTGTACTTTCTCCGCAGTGCTCGGGCTGTTCTTCCCATTCCTCTTTAACTCTTGCTTTCTTTTAGTCATGGAGCTTTGGAGGTGGATTTCCATCCTATTTCTGTCCTTCAGGGAGGTGAAGGTGGGGAGCGGTTACTTCTTCCAGTTAAGGGGGTGCTAAGAGTCTGTAGGACGACTTCCCTTTCTCTTATGTTCGGATTGGAAGGTTTGCCTCTGCTTTTGAAGGACAAAATGGATAGATGGTTCCCTTTTTAAAACTTCCTGCTCAGGGCGAGGCGCGAGGCTCTCTGTGGTGCTCAGCCTTTTTTGTTGATTTTTCAAGAGAGTTATATTTTGGCAGTACATCTGTGATGGCTTTTTGGAAATTCCCCCTTGAAGAAGCTAGCATTCTTCATTTTCATGTTTGTGTCCTTTTCAGAGAGATTTTTTTCCCTCTCCATGAAAAGGAGAAGCCAAACAAAAGAGCTTCTTTCATTGCTTTTCACTGTCTGCAAAATAGCAAGGAGCTGACAATGGGGAAGGCAATCTGGAGATGTTAAAGCTGCACAACTCTAATTGTCCTCTGCGCAGATTTGCTCAGCTTCCTCTCTTGGAAATGTAAATGCAGCCTATGAGTTTTGTGGGTTTATTCTCCCCCACTTTCTAACCCTCCACTACGTAGATCTGTGTTTTCTTGGTATTTAAAAATGTGGCTATTTCAGTTAAAATTGCCATCTGTGTTACTATGGGATTTATATCTGTATCCAAGCTAAAAGGTTAAGGCCAGCCTGAGTCAAAATGGAATTGTTGAATTGTGAGGCAGACCACATTCTCCCCATATTGCCTTTCTGCTTTTACTGCAAATGGTTTAGCTTTGGGCACTCCTCTAAGTTCTAATTAACATTCCTCAAGACTTCTGTATCTATCCCTCTAGCAGAAGTCGGAGGCACCTCTCCATTTGTGGTGCCACCACTAGAACAGAGCCTCTTCTGGTTTGGCTGGTCTTGCTGAGAGCTCCCCCCCTTCCCCCCCTTGACTCCACTTGTAAAGGATGAGAAATGACAGTAGTGTATGTAGTGAGGGTTTCTTGGCTGATTACATTTAAGCTTGGAATTCACTGTGAAAATAAAGCCAAGAGGTGATAAATAAAAGATGCAATCTTCTCTGAGAGACAGACACCCAGCATGGGCTTAGCTTTGCTTGCTTTCAGCATTTAGAAGAGGCCTCATTAAGAAATTGTGAAAAGAGGAGGGGGAACTCTTGTGAAACATCAACAGGAGAAGAGAAGGGGTCTTGAATGATGTTGTCAAAAGGCCAATGAAAGGCCATATGCATTAATACAACTTGTGTCCACTGCTGCTTTTGGAACAGTTAAACATCTAGTAAATACTTCATGCTAAAAATGTACTTTCATTTCTTCCTTACATGATCTGTTTGGAAAACCTCCAGGTTAGTAATGTATGGAAACTTTGCCTTTTACAGCATTATTTAAAATGTGACTTTATATGGGTGTGGTGAGAAAAAATATAACAAATCCGGAGGTTTCCCAAATCATGTATATGCATTACTGTATTTGCATGCTGTTCATTCCCAAGGGCTCTGAGAACTAACAGTCAGAAACAGCATACAGTAATAATTTCCTGCAGTAAATGCTGGACTTAGTAGGATTGCTAAAAAAAAAAACTTTTATATAAGACAAGCAGAGTAAATGAAAAAGATTAGCAGACTCTTGTAAACTGTCCTTTTCCTTAAGATGCTGAATTCTATTATCATTTTAGATGTTATCTTTTAAATTGGTTTAAATATTGTTGTTTAGATTTATGGGAAGCTGCCTTTGAAGCTCCTTTAACACAGCCCTTTGATTAAGAAAATGTATATAAATTTTTTTTCCTGTCATGTTGTTCAAATGTATTGTGTACGGTGTATGACCAATCTACCCAGGTCAACTATTGGAATAGTCACCTGTTCAAATATTGCAGATTGGCATAATTTCTATGTAAACATTTTTAGTGCTGGTTAATATATCTTCAGTGTTGAAGAATTTAACAGTAGTGGCTAATATTTTGTGTTAGTCATTCAGTTTTGTTATCTGAAATTTAACAAAAACGCAGTATAGGAAGTTCAGATTGCTGTCTCTTCCAACTTAGTATTGTCAGCACAGCCTCTAGACTCTTTCTACAACCTGTCTGCAAATTCTAAGTATTAAACCTAGAACTTTTCTTATGCCAGGTAGGAACTCTGTCACTGAACTAAGGCCCTTTCCCTAATCAAAATAAATATTATTTGGAATTGTGTTAAATGAGAGTTTATATGACACCTCTGCTATGAAAAACATTAATATATAGTCCTATAGTCAATCTTATTGCTAAAAACCTACATCATAAATAAGCACATGGAACATATTTTAAAATGTTTTAATAGGCTAGAATTATGTCTCATATGGAATATCCTATGCTTCCATATTATTGTTGTCTAAAGTTCCATAGCTAGAATTTTTAAAATAAAAGATATGTTTGTCAAACTGTGGTCAAGGTTATTTGCAGATTTGTTCTATACAGAAAGAAATCTAACTATTGCTATACATGTTCTTAGTTCTTTAGTTCCTTGAATCTAGTGCATAGAGAGCATATTACCACTATTACTAAATACTTTTATTGTATAGCCATAGTTGCATATTATATATTTGCGTAAAATCAATGTATGGGAATTATTTTTTTAACTATAGTGTTAATGTTTAGAATGAAAGAAATGGGAACATAATACACATGGTATGTTTATTGGAAATCTACATATTTTTATTATTTTTAATAAGAGATTAAATTGGCTTTGTCACTGGCTGGATTTGATCTTCAAAACAATTCAGCAACCACAGATATTGCTATTTTTAAGAGAGCAAGATTTGCACTCTAATTTGCAAGGCTACTAAGAACAAACATTTTCTTATGTTTATAGTAGGTAAGCAATTGCATGGCATTCTTTGTAATGAGAAGCCTTACAGTCACATTAAAAAAAAAGCTTAAAAAAAGATATAGTTCTTTTTGAAGCTCAATCCTTTGTCTACAGATACACTTTTCTCTTTGCTGGTGTTTTCAGTAAATAAAAATAATTGAAAATTATTAATGAAGTAACCTGGACATAAAAGCCTTAACTACTTTGATGGAATTTGGAGCATCTAAACGTCCAATTTTGGATTTTAAAGTTTGGTAGTTCTAATACTATACTACGTATTAATTAGGAATTTTCTTTCAACTGTGTCTATAGCTTGGTTTGTTTAAGCAGATAATTTAGTTTTCTAATTGTTCTTTCAGATATCAGCATCTGTCTTTGCTAGTTGGCATGATATATTTGAGATGAATAACTCATGCCAGCAAAGCTGTAGATTGATATGTGATAATTCCAGTTGTAGTTTCATTTGTACACATGTGTAATAATTGCTTCATAGCTGATGCTATGAAATTTAAAGGAACTTTGTATATTTTGGAGAAAAAAAATTGTAACAAGGAAGTGTGGATAAAACTATAGCTTGAGCAAGTTCTGTTGCAGATTTTCTCCTTCCTCTTCTCATTCATGAAGACTTCTTATTCTCCAAGAGGTTCTTTGCATAAGATTCCAATACCCCTAAAGTCAAGACTAATAAACAATTTGTTTTCTAAAATATTGGCATGGTTAATCTTCCTGTTATGACTTTAGGCCTGAGAAAGGTGGAACAACCTGCCTCCAGAAGCTGTGAATGCTCCAACACTGGAGGTTTTTAAGAAGAGACTGGACAACCATTTGTCTGAAATAGTATAGGATTTCCTGCCTGAGCAGGGGGTTGGACTAGATGACCTGCAAGGTCCCTTCCAACTTTATTATTATTATTATTATTATTATTA